CACAGCTAGGTCACTAGAGGGGCTTTATTGTGTGGATCATCATCAAAGCAAAGAGACTCAAGGTGTGACTTTTGCTGCAGGAAGGAACTCCATCAAGCAACTCTTGAATAAAGGAGCTGCATTATGGCATTATAGGTTAGGCCATCCAAGTCCTAATTATATGTCTAGAATGTTCCCCAATTCTATGAATAAAAATAACTTTTCTATTCCTTGTGAAGTATGCCAACTGTCCAAACATACGAAAAGCAATTACAAAGCCCATCCTCATACATTTTCTCACCTTTTTTTACTTGTGCATAGTGACATTGGGGGGCCAACCCGCTTTTCAACCTTAACAAATGCAAAATGGTGACACTAAATGATGATCACACACAAGTCACTTGGGTGTTTCTCATAAAAGAAAAATCAAACCTTACTCAAACTATCATGAACTTCCACAAAATGATTATGAATCAATTTGACACATTAATAAAGTTCTGCGCAACGATAATGGGAGGGAACATATGAACTCAAATCTTCAAGTCTACCTCAAACAACATGGGATTATACACCAAACAAGCTGTGTAAACACATCCCAAGGGATAGCTAAAAGAAAAAATCGCCACCTTCTTGAATTGACCCGAGCCATTATGACAACCAATAATGTGGCTAAATTTTACTAGGGAGAAGCACTCTTGACAACCACACATCTCATAAGTCGCCTACCATCCAAAACACTCAACTTTCACACTCCAATACAAGTTCTATCTAAAAACTACCCAAACTCACACCTACTCAGATTCCCAAAAAGGTGTTAGGATGCATAGCATATGTCCATAATGACCATGGCAGCAAACTTGACCTTCGTGCCATTAATTGCATATTCCTTAGCTATTCCTCTAGCCAAAAGGGGTACAAATGCTACTCTCCCAGCTTCGAAAAGTTCTCTGTCACAATGAATGTTACCTTTGAAGCAACTCAACCCTACTACACCAAAACACCCATTTAGGGGAAGAGTGAACGGGAATGGGAATTTTTGCTTCTTGAAAATGAACTTCAACCTGCTCCAAACTTGACCACACCTACACCTGAATCCCAAACTACCATAAATCTACCTCAAGCCGAGCCTCTCCAACCTATTCTAGTAAATCTAGGCCTGAATTCAAACCCGGACAGAACTGAACAAGAGCCTGGTAATGCCATAAATGAGGAATCTGGTACCATGGACCCTAATGATCCAGAATCCGCAGAATCTAAAGGTGAAGAAGCCATTCCAAAATCTGCAGAATCTGAAGGTGAAGAAGCCTGAAGCTGAGACAAAGCAACACAATGAAGTGTCCTCTAGTCCTGAGCAACGCCAAGACTCAACTTCAACTCCTACTCCTAATGATCTTGGGTGGCCTATTGCCTTGAGAAAAAGGGTAAAATCCCGTACTAGACATCTTATCAGTAACTTTGTTTCATATGACCAATTGTCATCCTCCATGCATAGCTTTGTTACAAGGTTAGCAAGTGGACACATATCGGCTGCTTACTAAGAAGCCATAAGGGATCCGAATTGGAGAGGGGCCATAGAAGAAGAATTGAGGGCTCTAAATAAAAACCAAACCTGGAAAATAATTAAACTACCAGCCGGGAAGAAGACTGTTGGGTGCACGTGGGGTTTCACAAGGAAATACAATTTGATGGCACAATCAACAAGTACAAGGACAGACTTATGGCCTTGACTATTAGGAGACCTTTGCCCCTGTCGCCAAACTAAATACAATCAGAATGCTTCTATCTCTAGCTGCAAATTTAGATTAGCCACTACACTAACTTGATGTGAAAAATACTTTTCTAAATAGAGATCTAGAAGAAGTATACATGGATGTTCCACAAGGCCTAGTAGAACATAATAGGCTAGGGAGAACATGTAGACTCTACAAATCACTCCATGGATTGAAACAATCTCCTAGAGCGTGGTTTGAAAGATTTACTAAAGCAATTAAAAATGTAGGGTTTTGCTAGTAAAGCTTGGGCCGTGGGCCTCAAAACCCTAACCCTAATTAGTGTTGTAGCCTAAAACCCTAATTAGGGTTAGTTATTGCAATTTAAGTTTCAGATGTAATCTAGGATTTAGGGATATTATTTTGTTTTATCATTCAAACTAGTATCTTTTTGATTTTCCCAGAATTTCGACCTATCCCTAAGATTTTGACCTTCTGCCCTCATCTATATGGAGCTATTGTAACCTATTTATATTCTACTACTTCATTCGAATAAAATCAATTCAGAACCATAAGAGTTCTTCATGGTATCAGAGCATCGTGATTAGATTTGGTATGGGCCTGCCTCATGAAGGCCAAATAAACCCTAATCTAGCGTCAACAAACCCTACTGGTTTGGCAGCAAATGTGAGCAGCAACCTTAGTGCATCTGAGACCCATCCTTCCTCTATTACCATTCATCGCCTCAATGGTGAGAATTACCTACAATAGGCGGCTAGTGTGCAGTTGTTTGCCATGGGAAGAGGCAGATATGGATACCTTATTGGAGCTGCAGAACAACCAACAACCACAGACGAAAAATATGCAAATTGGGAAGCTTAGAACTCAATGGTGCAAACATGGCTTATTAACTCTATGACTACAAAAATTGGTGCACACTTCTCCTTCTTTCCAACAACACGAGAAGTATGGGATGCAGCCAAAGATATGTTTGCTGCTGTTAAAAACAAGGTTGCCGTTATTGATATTGAATGATTTTTACATGATTTCAAGAAAGGCAACCTTTTAGTGACCTAATACTACACTGAATTGGTTATTAAATGGCAGCAACTTCATTCTTATGAGACACATGCTTGGAAGTGTGTTGGTTATGCTGCAATATATACAAAAATTAAAGAAGAAAAAAGGGTTTTCAAATTTCTTCTTGGATTAGATACATCCTTTGAAGAAGTTCGTGAGAGAATAATGGGACTTGAAGAATTGCCCTCTCTCCGTGAAGTCTTTTTCACTATGAGAAGTTAAGAAAGCAAAAAGAAATTGGTGAGCAGTGACAATTCAATGACACAAGCAAGCCGAGTGCCCTAATTTCCAAAGGCTCAACTCACAATGACAATAAGAAACAAAACAGATGGTGTGACTATTGCAAAAAGAAAGGTCACATAAGAGAGATTTGTTGAAAGTTGAATGGAAAACCTCCAAAGAGAGGAAAGCAAGAAGGCCGAGGATATGCAGGATCTATTGAAGGGAAAAGAGAATCAGAATTCACCAAAGAAGAACTAGATCTACTTAGAAGATTCCTAAAGAAACATGATTCTCAAGATAGTACAATTGAAGGTGGGTATATAGCCCACACAGGTAAAACAATACTAGCCCTTAAAGCTGAAGGGCATCATAAAAGTTGTGGATTGTAGATTCTGGAGCCACTGACTACATGACTAGAACTTCAGAATTATTGACAGATATCAGGCCCTGTCCTTTCAATATATTCGTAAAAATGGCAGATGGGAAAGCCTTGAAAGTCAAGGGACTAGGAACAGCATATATAACACCTAAAATTGTTTTGTATAATGCTTTCTATACCCCTGGTTTAAAATGCATCTTGTTATCTGTGAAAACTATAACTCATAGTCAGAAATGTGGTGTTTATTTCACATCTATTGAATGCATTTTTCAGGATCTGGAGGGAAGGAAAACGAGTGGCACTACTAAGATTCTAGAAGATCTCTACTGTTTAGAAGTGCAAGATGGTTCGCTGAAATCCTTTTTTTTTTCAAATGCTATGAAGTTTTCTTTACTACTAGATGTAAAAATAAAGAGGCACTGTTATGGCACTATAGACTAGGTCATCCTAGTTTTCATTACATGTCAAAGTTGTTCCCTCATCTTATGAATACAAGTGATTACTCTTTCATTTGTGATATTTGTCAATGTGCAAAAAAAAACCAAAGCAACCTACAAACCCCATTCCCATCAATTTTCAAAACCCTTTCATCTAATTCACAGTGACATTTGGGGACCTTCTCGAATTCCTTCCTTATCCCACATTAAATGATTTGTTACCTTTATTGATGATCACACTGGCCTCACATGGGTGTTCCTTATGAAAGAAAACTCTGATTTGCCTTCCATTTTTATCAAATTTCACAAGATGATTGAAACTCAGTTTCAGACCCAAATTTTAACTCTTGGCAGTGATAGTGGCCGAGAATATCTAAGCCAACACCTCCAAAATTACCTCCAAGACCATGGCATAATTCACCAAACCAACTGTGTTAATAACCCCCAATAGAATAGAACAGTAGAACACATAAACAAACACATTGTAAAAGTCACTCGAGCCCTTATGTTCACTCACCATGTTCCCAAACAATATCAGGGAGAAGCTATCCTCACAATCGTGCATCTCATAACTAGACTACCCTCCAAAACTCTCAATTTTTAAGACACCAATGGACCTTCTTACACAAACCTACCCAAACACTTTACTGGCCACCAATCTTCCTTTGAAAGATTTTGGATGCTTAGCCTATGTATATCACAAAGAAGGAGGCAAACTTGATCCTAACTCTACAGATTCACTCGAACTTGACCCAAGCCCTCCACATCTTGAAATCACAAGCCTCACTGACCCTGAATCTATTTCCACTCCAGATCCTAACCCAGAATCACCATCCCCTCTATCTGAACCTAGAATAGTGCCTAATGACGCCTTGCCAAACAATATAATGGAGGAATCTTAGACTGAAACAGAGCATACTCAAGAGGAAGAAGTCACTGAAAACAGTAGGGATCTTCATGAGTCACGGCAGGGTCAAGACTCAACCCAGTCTACAGTTCCTGATGATCTCGGTTGGCCAATTGCACCTAGAAAAGGGGTAAGACAATGTACCATGCATCCTATTAGTCATTTTGTTTCTTATGACAAGCTATCTACTTGTATGAAAAGTTTTGTCACTAAACTTAAAGAGGAGATAGTTCCTTCTCATTTTGATGATGCTATCAAAGATCCAAGGTGGAAAATTGCTACCCAGTCTACAGTTCCTGATGATCTCGGTTGGCCAATTGCACCTAGAAAAGGGGTAAGACAATGTACCATGCATCCTATTAGTCATTTTGTTTCTTATGACAAGCTATCTACTTGTATGAAAAGTTTTGTCACTAAACTTAAAGAGGAGATAGTTCCTTCTCATTTTGATGATGCTATCAAAGATCCAAGGTGGAAAATTACTATTGATGAAGAGCTCAAGGCTCTAGGAAAGAATGAGACATGGACTATAGTTCAAATACCACCTGGAAAGAAACATGTAGAATGTAAATGGGTCTTTACAATAAAACACAATTCAAAAGGATGTATAAACAAGTTCAAAGCCAGTCTTGTTGCAAAAGAATTCTCCCAAACTCAAGGTATTGATTACCAAGAAACATTTGCACCAGTGACAAAATTGAACACTATTTGAATAATATTATCCCTAGCTGCCAACCTTGATTGGTCATTACACCAGGTAGATGTGAAAAATGCATTTGTAAATGGAGATCTGGAAGTTTATATGAGGATCCCTGAAGGGCTAGCAAAATATGGAGATCTCAATAAGGCTTGCAGATTATATAAGTCTCTTTATGGTCTCAAACAATCCCCAAGAGCATGGTTTGAGAGATTTATAAAGGTGGTGAAGAGCTCAAGTTATATTCGATGCCAATCTAATCATATACTATTTGTCAAGCATTCAGGTATGAAAGTTGCCATTTTAATTGTATAAGCTGATGATATTGTGATAACTGGAGATGATTTTGGAGAAATTGAAAGGTTGAAAAAGACTCTAGCCACTACATTTGAGGTTAAAGACCTCGAACACCCAAGGTACTTCCATGGAATGGAAATTGTTAGATCAAAAGAAGGCATTTCTGTCTCACAAAGAAAGTACACACTTGATTTGCTCAAGGAAACAGGAATGCTTGGAGCTAAACCTTCACCAACTCCTATGGATTCGTCTGTTAACCTAGAATTCAAGAAGGATGGTGTGACAATTGATGCAGAAAGATACAAACAACTGGCGAAGCAAGAAACAAATCGTCTGTTAACCCAATGCAGATCATGAAAGAACACGTGTTGATAGAAGACCAACAGGGGCTACTTTACCTTTGTTTAGAGCAATCTTGTAACTTGGAGAAGCAAGAAACAAATCGTAGTCTCAAGAAGCAGCGCAGAAGCTGAACTAAGAGCCCTAGCTAACAGTGTTTGCGAAGGCATGTGGATTATCCAAGTGTTAAGAGAACTTAAGTCACTATTGATGAGCCTATTAAACTATGGTGTGACAGCATGTCGGCAATTCAGATGATTCACAACCTAGTTCATCATGACAGGAATAAACACGTGGACATTGATAGACACCTCATAAAGGAGAAGATTGAATCAAATATTATTGATCTTTCACACATAAAAAACTCATTTCAAGTAGTTGATGTTCTTACAAAGCCTTTGGAATGGCCCAAGTTTGAAAACTTCAGAGACAAGCTAGGCAAGTTGGATATCTACTTGCCAGCTTGAGGGGGAGTGTTAGTAAAGATGGGCCGTGGGCCTCAAAACCCTAACCCTCATTAGTGTTGCCACCTAAAACCCTAATTAGGGTTAGTTATTGCAATTTAAGTTTCAGATGTAATCTAGGATTTCGGGATATTATTCTGTTTTATCATTCAAACTAGTATGTTTTTTATTTTCCTAGGATTTCAGCCTATCCCTAAGATTTCGACCTTTTACCCTCATCTAGATGGGGCTACTGTAACCTATTTATATTCTACTTGTGCAATTCGATGCTATTTTGTTCTTATTCGATATGAAAAACAGTGAGGTACATATATAGGCATGCGCCCTAACTAACCAAATCACTCAGGATACAGAACCAATGAAACAAATAAAATAAAATAAAATCTCCTAGAATCAGGGAACTTAAACTATTGCCGTCTATCTTCTATTTTCTTAAGTAAATAAAACCTAAACCTAATTAGGTTAATTTAGGCCAAGGCCCATATCGGCTCTAACACTCCCCCTCAAGCTGGTGAGTAAATATCCTTCGTTCCCAACTTGCTTTTGAGCTCATCAAACTAGGGCCTTGGTAATGCTTTGGTGAAGAAATCTGCTACTTGTCTGTGTGATGGAACATGCGAAAGATCAATTATTTTTGCATCCATCCTTTCTTTGATGAAGTGCTTGTCTATGTCCACATGTTTTGTCCTTTCATGATGAATAGGATTCCTGACCATCCCAATAGCTAACATACTATCGCATCTTGGCCTGATCGGATTGCTAGGCACAAGTTGTAGCTCCTTCAACACTCTGAGTAGCCATAGCCCTTCACATACTCCGTGAGCAAGTGCACGAAGTTCTGACTCACTACTCCTAGATACCACCGATTGTTTCTTGCTTCTTCAAGTTACAAGATTTCCCCAAACCATAGTGCAGTAGCCTGAAGTTGATCTTCAATTAAGGAGAAAACCTCCATAGTCTGCATCGATATATGCATTATTTATTTCCAACTCACCACACTCTGCATCTGTATCACTTGTTTCTGTGTTGTTATGCCTGCTATCCAAATTAGAATTTGAGTTTTCAAGGAGTTCTGGTGGTGGTTCTGGTATTGGTTGAGATGGAAATGGTGAGGCTGTTAAAACAGGGGTAGTACAAGTAGGAGTGGTTGATATAGTATCTTTGGGTTGAAGAAACTCCTATTCCTCACTACTCTCCCCCTAAATGGGTGTTTTTGGATGATAACTTTGGTTTTCATCAAAAGTTACATTCATGGTCACAAAATATTTCTTTAAGGGCGGGAAATAACACTTGTAGCCTTTTTGGGTGGATGAGTATCCAAGAAAAATACACTTGAAGGGTCTAAGGTCTAGGTTACCTCCATTATCATTGTGAACATAAGCAATGCACCCAAAAATTTTAGGTGGAATCTGAGTGTGAAGGTAGGAATTTGCATAGGTTTTAGCTAGGGTTTGGAGAGGGGTATCAAAATTTAGTGTTTTGGAAGGAAGACGGTTTATTAAATGCGCAGCAGTGAGTATGGCTTGCCCCTAGTAGTATTTTGGAACACTGTGTCAGTATTACGGATCTAGTTACCTCAAGAAGGTGACGGTTTTTCCTTTCCGCTGTGCCATTTTGATGTGGGGAATTCACACAGCTCGTTTGATGAACAATCCCATGTTGTTTGAGGTAGGTTTGTAGATATGTTCCCATATATTCTCTCCCATTATCACTCCGAAGGATTTGAATAGAGGAATGGAACTGATTTGAGATCAGTTTGTGAAAATTTATTAATTTTTCAGGTAACTCAGATTTATCTTTCATTAGAAACACCCAAGCTAAGCATGTGTAATCATCAATGAACGTGACAAACCATTTAGCATGTGTTAGAGAGGGAGTTCGAGTGGGACCCCAAATGTCACTGTGAATGAAAGAAGAAGGTTAAGTGAATTGATGAGAGTGGGGTGTGTAGACACCTTTAGTATGCTTAAACGATTGGCAAACTTCACAGGATAGAGATGAAAAATTTTTATTCAAAGAATCAGGTAACAATCTGGACATATACTTTGGGCTAAGATGTCCTAACTTATAATGCCATAATAACACTTCTTTATCAGTAAGAACAGATGGAAGAGATTTTCCAGTAGCAAAACTGGAAGCACTTGGTTGAGTCCACAATTGTTGAGCATCCACACAGTACAATCCCTCTAGCATCCTAGCTTTGCCAATCATCTTCTCTGACTCCAAGTCCTGAAACAAACATTGAGTAGCGAAAAAATCAACATGACAGTGTTGAAATATGGCAGCTTTGCTCACAGGTATCAAGCTACACTTTAAATCTGGTGCATATAGGACGGTTTTGAGAATTAAGCTTTCAAAGAGACATGCTTCACCAATACCATGAACCTTTAAAAATTTTCCATCTGCTACCTCTATAAACATTGGGAATGTGCACGGTTTTAAGTTTTGAATCAACTTTGGATTTCTGGTCATATGGTCTGTGGCGCCAGAGTCAACTATCCACATATTCTCATGATGAATGTTAGTTTTTAGAGCAAGAATGACATTATATGTGTAAGCTATATTACCGGAGGCAACTAGTTGTTCTTTAGTCTCATTTTTCTAGGATTCTTCGGAGACATTCAATTTCCTCAGTACTGAGTTTATTACCATAATCAGAGTCACCTTTAGCTGTGGTAGCCCGTGAGTCACCTTTCCCTTTGCCTCTGTTTGCTGGTTTCCCATGAAGCTTCCAGCATACCTCTTTGGTATGTCCTGATTTTTGACAATGATCACAACATCTATTATTTTTCCGCCCTTTTCCATCATTTGACTGGCCACCCTTAGTGTACATAACACTAGAGTCAGACTCCAGCTGTTGTGGTTGTATAGAGGTAGTAAGTTTTCGCCTGCTCTCTTCTTGCTTCACCATGAAGAATACTTCACGTAGGGAAGGAAGCTTTTCAAAGCTCATAATGCGTCCCCTGATCTCATCAAAAACAGGATTCAGACTTAGCAAGAACTTATAGATCCTTTTCTCCTCCTTGATTTTGGCGTAGAGTTGGGCGTCAGTAGAACAAGCCCATTCATACGTGTCATACATATCCAGTTGTTGCCATAATATTACCAGATTCGTCTAGAATTCTGTAACAGTTAGAGTGCCTTGTTTTAGTTTATCCAAGGCCGCCTCAATCTCCATGATCGCAGCATGATTATTGAGGGAGGCAAACATATCTCGTGCAGCCTCCCAAACTTTCTGTGCAGACTTGAACAGGGAGAAGCTTGCACTTATGTCTGTGGTCATTGAGTTTACAAGTCATGACTGGATCATTGAATCCTCTATTTCCCACTTTGCAAGCTTTGGGTCAGAGGACAGAGGTCGTTTCTCAGTGCCAGTGAGATAACCCAGCTTCCCTTTTCCAGTCACAAACAGACGAACACCCGCGGCCCATTGGAGATAATTCTGACCATTCAGCCGATGAATGGTGATTGACGAGGAGGTAGCATCGTTCGGCACTTGGTGGCCTGAACCCTGATCACTCGACGTTGCAGAGGTATTCAAGGCCGAGGAGTTCATGCCACCTTGACCGTCATTATCCAATCCGAATCCAAACTAGATCATGGTAGCTCTGATACCTTGTGCAATTCGATGCTATTTTGTTCTTATTCGATATGAAAGGAGTGAGGTACATATATAGGCATACGCCCTAACTGACCGAATCACTCAGGATACAAAATCAATGCAAAAAAAAATAAATAAATAAAATCTCCTAGAATCAGGGAACTTAAACTACTGCCATCTATCTTCTATTTTCTTAAGTAAATAAAACCTAAACCTAATTAGGTTAATTTGGGCCAAGGCCCATATCAGCACTAACACTACCACTTCATTCGAATAAAATCAATTCAAAACCATAAGAGTTCTTTAGGTTTTGTCCAATGCCAAGCAGACCACACACTTTCGATGAAGCATTCAACAGGTAAAATAGCTATCCTAATTGTATATGTTGATGATATCATTATGACTAGTGATGATGCAGATGAAATAACCAGATTTAAAAAGTCTCTAGAAAAGGAGTTTGAAGTTAAAGATGTTGAGGGTCTCAGATACTTCTTGGGTATGGAAGTGGCAAGGTCCCGTAATGGAAACTTTGTCTCTCAAAGGAAATATACCTTGGATCTATTGAAGGAAACAGGAATGCTAGGAGCCAAGCCTGCAAAATCTACAATGGCACCTATTGGCAAACTTGACAATAAAGAGGAAGATGAGAAAGATGGTAAAGCCACCATAAAGGATTGTAAAAGCAAGAAGAGAATCCAAAAAAGGACCCAATTCCTCTTGATGCTAAAAGGTACAAGAGACTAGCGGTAAAACTTCTGTATCTATCTCACACTTGCCTGACATAAGCTATGCAGTTGGTGTTGTTAGCAGATTCACCACTAAGCCGCTAGAGGAACACATGAATGCAGTATATAGGATCCTGCATTATTTAAAAATGACTCGAGGTCGAGGACTCTACTTTGCCAAGGGCAAATCACAAGAAATAATAGTATATACCAATATACCAATGCTGATCATGCTGGGTATCTTCCTGACAAGTGCACTATGGTGTATGGAAATCTAGTGACATGGAGAAGCAAGAAATAGACAGTTGTCTCTAGAAGTAGTGCAAAGGCTGAACTGGCTTGTGGATATTGAGGATGCTAAGAGAATTGAAACTTGCATTTAGTGCTCCTATAAGATTGAGGTATGATAGTATGTCTACTATTGCTATGGTAAGAAGCCCAGTTCACCATGAGCGAACAAAACATGTAGACATTGACAAACACTTCATCAAAGAAAAAAGGGATGCTGGAATAATAGAACTAGCACGTGCCATCACGTTGCCAGGTAGGAGACTTATTCACTAAAGCCCTAGCTTGATCACAGTTTGAAGAGCTCAGAAGCAAGCTAGGAATGATAGATATATATTCACCAACTTAAGGGAGAGAGTGTTGACGCTACTTGAGCCTTCGGCCTTCCTTATTCAGCAGCATTTAATCAGATTTAATTTCCTATCAATATCCTAGAATCATGGCAGATTTGATTTTGTTTTTGAACTTCGAATTTGCTGATTTTCCTTATTCTCCTCTAATTATGTAATTATGGACAGATCCTAGAATCTAGGATTATTTCTGTACGTATTGTACACTGTCATTCAAATAAATCAATCTTTTCCGGCATCAAATTATTCAGTTTATTTATAAAAACACAAATGTTTTAGAACTTCCTTTATGGTTTAAGGAAAAAATTAATCAGCATCGAAATATTAATGTTTTAGAACTTTCTTTATGGTCGAAGGAAAAATTTAATCAATATTGTCATAATATTCTAAGTGATTTACACTATTAATCTTCATTAACATATACATAGATATAATGGATGTTAAACCATATTATTCAAATCATTCTTGTACCAAAAAAAAAAAAAAAAGGAAAGAATTTTAATTATCTCATCAAGATAATCACCCATTCTAGTTCATTTGAACTCATCCATACAAATCCCATTACTGTGTTGTGGGATTGTGGCATCCAACATGACTAAAAGCAAGTGTGACTATGTTTCATAAATAATATGGAAATTAAATACAGGGAACCTCAACTATATCATCAAGAGATGATCATGCAATCAGATGGTAACAAACCACACATATTACACAGATTTGACATTTAAGATGTTAATTATAATACACTAAGAAGACCTAAAAGTTTGGTCTTTCACAGAATTATGCTTAGTTTACAGTCTCAGTTCCATATAAACACTAAACTTCTACAATAAAATAAAGGGGTGCCCGAATAGTCCCTATCAGTAAAACTACTTTTTTATAATTGTGTAAGGGTCAACTCCAGCTGTTATCAGATCTTGTTGCTTAGACCATAAAATATGATTGCAAATCATGTCAGTGGTACACCTGTGCTTCCACAAAGCAGTGAGTTCTCCAAGGACAAATGTACAGGAAGGAATAGAGAAGGAAGAACCTCTTTTTAGCACCACAGGATTGGGCCAAAGATGACCCGTATTGTTCAAGGATTGTGACTAGCGCAGGACCCTATACCTTTTATATATTCATATTTATATTGAGTATTACAGGGAAGTAATATTCTTTCCTACTTTTTGGTGGCATGCCTAAGGTCCTAGAGGAAGAGGCAATGGCACAACAAATAGGAATGCTCTAAGGGCCTTAGGTCCCCAGAGAAGGCTACTGACTAGCCCCTACTACCAAGAGATTTCCCTAAGAAGGGTTGACCACCCAGAGAGACTACTAGTTCATAAAGGAATTCAAAACCTTGTGCATAAGAATGCAAAGGCTTAGCCTCAACTCCTACTCCACATTGATCGAAACCCCATTGCATATAAAATTAGAAATCTCATTATAAATAACTTCAGAACGAGACAATGACCAACATTTTAACCTTAATTTAAAGGAAGGAAAAGAATGCACAAGTATTGCAGCCAACAAACTTGCTATCATTTACATGCATAGTAACATTTTGCAAGACACATATTGGTGGCTCGAAATAAAATCAACAACTATTCATGGACCATGGATTGATGGTATTTACAGGATATATGACACAATGTCTTAGGAACAGTGATACAATAAAGGGTCTCTAAATAATCTAAACAATGTTGTGGAACAGTCCCACAGATTTCTTCAAGAAATACAAACCATTGAAAACTTCCGAAGTAATGCATTTTAGCTCTCAATAGAATATGGGTGAAAATTGAAAAGTTCAAAATAAGCATAAAGATCCACTAATTAGCAGGACAATTCCCAAAACCCTGCAATAATGCCGAAAGCAGTTTCGCTCACAGCCTTTACCGTGAAATAAAGTATTTCCACAATTCTACTAAGATAGACAAAGATACTTCACACATTACCTCGAATAAATTGGGCTCCCCAGGAGCTAACGTCTCAGTATTACTTCCTTCGTTCGTCATCTCGCGAACATCCTGATCGACCAAAGCAAAAGCAAGGTAAGAAAGCACACAAGTTGACTATGAAATAAATCAATTGCCCATGGCAGTTTTCACAAATTCCAACAAACCCTAATTAGCACACAACAGAGAACAAAGGTTCTAACCTCCGAAAGCTCAGAGAAGGGAAGGTAACAACTACAACGATGCCAAATCGACGGATCAGATGCACATCGGACGAGACAGAAAATCAAAATTTTGGAACAGAGAAAATTTAGGAAAACAACAAAAATTAAAATCAAATAGCAAGATATTTAGGAATGATTAACAGGGTAGCAGACAGAAATTGAAAAAGCTACAGGGCAATGATTTTGCAATAAACTGCTATGAGGATTTTTGAGGGTTCGGTAAAATAATTTTTCTGTTCGGTTTGTGAGCCAAAAAAGAAAGAAAAAGACGAAAGGCGCTGAAGGGTCTGAACAACGGTGAGGCCGGTAAGACTCGTCTTCGGCAGTAGAGCCGTAGAGGAAGATAATTATTTTATTGTTCATGCAAATTGGGTATTTGATAATGATAATATATATGCATGTCTTATCATGATAAAATCTATTTTATTTATGGTCATATATTGACAGTGATGATTTCCACCAAAAAAAAAAAACAGACAGATTTCTCGTGGGGAACATATAAAAATAGAGAGAACTCGCGATATTAAAAATAAAATTGGAAATTATGATGAGGATTAAGGTTTTTTATTATGACTGATTTTAGGCCTAGTCATCCCGTCTTGTCCCGAGACCATTCCCACCCTATAGGGGTTGAGACGAGACAAGACGTGCCCTTTTTTTTTTTTTTACAAGTCGATGTAATTTGGGCCTAGATTTTTTTATGTATAATATTTGTTTTTTATTGGACTTCTGAAGATAAAAACACTAAAAAAAATATTATGTAAAAAGCTCAATTGTATAATGTAAAAAAAGTATAAAAACAATACTGCCAAAGAAGAACTATCATAAAAGAAATACTATATAATGGCTTTATTAATTATTTTATTGAAGAAGAAGATTTTATTGAGATAATATTGTAACTTGAGAGCTGAAAATCACTGTAAAGATAATTATTCTTAAAAAAAGAATTAAATAATCTAATAAAATTATTAATAAATAATTTTAAAAAAAAATCGGACGGTCTGCGTCCCGTCCTGTCCCCTCTCATAGTCATTATGTCTCAAAATTTTGTTTGTCATGTCTCATCCCAAATTGATCGGGACTGGGATGGGAGAACTTAAACACCCCTAGTTGTTATGAATCAAATCAGCCTATTCGATCTGTGTTCGGTTCAAACATTTACCAAAATCACAAGAAAGGTAAACAAGTTAAGAATCGGTCAGAATTGGTTAAAAAAAATGTTGAAAAATTAATTTGAGTCGACTTTCCTTTTTATATATACTATATTCGGTCCTTAATATAATAGCTAATTTAAGATTTAATTTGATCCTAAATATAAGACCCTAACTATTTTGGCTCTCATATTTATCCATCTTTTCTAAGATAATTATAGTAGTGGTTGCACATGTTAAAAGTTTCATTAAATGGTAGTTCTCATTAATATACATAATTAGCAAAACTATTTTATAGAAGACAACACATATTTATTACAAATAACTAACTGAACTAAATTTTCTAATCTACTCAAATTAGTCAACTTTTACATTAAAGATCAAACTTCAGATGTAGTGTTTTGAATTTTTAATAACCCAAAAATGTGTTATTGTGTTTTTATTTGTATTTTGGTCGGTTTTGTCTTCAGTGTCTTTGGAGTTATCCCCAAATATATGATTTTCTTGGTCTATTCATTTTGATCATATACATTCTAATTGCACAGTAGTTTCAATGTAGACAGTTGAATGGGGTATCATAAAAAAATCAACATACATATTTTTAGAAATAATTAATTTAACTAATTTTATTTTAATAAAAAAACTTATTTAGTTTTTTTAATATTTATAAATTAAAACTCGAGAAAGTATAAGGTCTTCATAAGTTACACCCCTCACTTATGGTCATTGATAGAAAATGGTAGAGAAAGGAAAAGTAAGGTGAAAATGGGGAGGAATGGAGTTTTTTCGAGAAAGAAAAATAGAAGAGAAAGGAAAAATAGGGGAGAAAATTGTTAGAATGGTAGTACACCTAGGAAGAAGGTGAATTAGGTGATAATAAAATTTTAAACTTAAAAACAGTAATCGTAAACTAAAGGAGATCGAGTTAGAAGGATAACATGAGGGTAAATCAAGATGCACATAGCAATTTACACTAGTTCGGTTTTAATCACTTGACCTATATTCAGTCCTCAGAAGGTCTCTTGGAGTTTTACTATACTCTAAGATTTGTAACAGGCTCTTGGTGCCATAATACAGCAATTGATTACTCTCAATTGCTCCCATTTACTACCCATAAAGTTACAACCCACTCAAGATTCTCATAATTTTGAGTTACTCTAGATGGAGTAATAAAAGTTTAAGTCTCTCTTTTCGAGTAATAAATGAACACTAAAGTATAATTGATGAACTTAATGAAACAGAGCAATAAATTCGATAGCGTAATTGTTCATTTTTCTTCTTTGCTCTATTGAATGCTATAGTTGATCTTCATTAACTATCCATTAGACTTGAAGTGATATTACCATTGTAAAAGCAGTTGTAGATGATGATAGCTTGTAATGGTTGAAGAGCATTTAATGTTTCTGACAAAAGTAGCTTGACAATGTCATTTTTTCATTGAGCCATTTAATCTTGCATTAACCTTGCTTGAACTTGTTATTAGCAACTCAGAGTAGTAAGGAAAGACAGAAGATGAACAATAAATAAATTTCAAACAAGTTAACTTTAATTTGCTCAAAGATCATATATTGATAACCTTATCAATAATTAGCTTTATCAATATTCTTATTGATAAATATCCAAAAAGAAAAGAAAACTAAGCTGTGAGAAATAATGAAGTTCAAGGCCATTTTATCATAAATCTTATCAATAAATTTTTGATTGAAAATAGATAGATTATCTTTGAATTTATTAAACAGCTGAAGACTAAAAAATGAAAAAAAAATCTACATTTACTGATAATCTTATCGATAAAAGCATTTAAAATAACCTTATCAAACACCTTCTCGCCAAAGAACTTTATTGATAACGTTAATGATAAGCCAAAGTATTTCTATTGGGATCTATTAAAACAACTATTCTGAAATTTGAGAGCATCCATTAATTGACGTTATCGATGAAAATCTCTTTTCCTCAAAGAACAAGTTGTTGTCGATAATCTTATTTATAATTATAGAGTCAACTTCAGCATCTAAGTTTTAAAAACAATTGAACGAAAAGGCTTTCTTTGTCATAGTCAAAACTTGAATAAAAACGATTGACCCAAAAGGCTTTCTTTATTATCATCAAAACCCAAATACTAACAAAAATAAAGTGAGTCTCACATCTCATTTTCTCCCCAAAATTTAACTCCACAAGTAGAGAGATTTTCATCCAAAAAATTCATTCTCATTACTACCCTCCCTAAAAGGTGTAAATGACATGTTCACCTTTTTGTTTATAATATTCCATGACCATGATGACAGTGTAAGATATTTTATTTTATAAGTATCAATTTTAATAGTATTATTAGTGACATTTTCATGATATCAATTTCTCATGCTATCATAGGGGGTGTTTGGATAGAAACAAAACTATGATTTCAGAAGTAATTTTACAGTCTACAAAGTAAATATGTGGAGGAGTTTGTCTCGATTTGCAAAAAAGTGCTTTTAAAACATTAGATAATATATAATTTTACTTGATTTTTATCATTTTATCAAAACATTAGATAATATATAATTCATTTATTTCCTTTTATTTTATTTTATCATTTTACTTGAATCTGGTGACAAGAGAAATAAGAATATACTAGGAGAGCACAAAAAACCTAGTAGTCTGGTCCAACCCAAGGTAGTCTATTCCAAATATGCTCTTTAATAAAATCAAACCAACCTGGACGAACTGGTTGGTTGGGCTAGACTAAGTTCCTAACCAAGTGACCAAACCACTTGGACTAGTCTAGTTCGGTCCAAGTGAATACTATTTTTTTTTTTATATATTTTGTAAATTGGATGTTGATTTTTATTATTATGAAATATTTTTAGAAATTCCTATGGATTTATAATTAAATTAACATTTTGTTTATGAGTTTATATGATTATAGGTATTTTTTCATTGTCTTAATTATGTTTATCAAGTTAAAATCTTGAATCTCACAAAGAAAAGAAAAAAAGAAAAAAAATTGAGGTTTTAGGCTACTTGGACTGCCCAAGGTAATCTAGTGGATCAATTTTTTTTTTCTATATTTTGTAAATTGGATGTTGATTTTTATTATTGTTTATTTGCCACTAAGGACTTAAGCATGCTCTCATTATGGACGATTGTTAATTTATTGCTGAGGACTATTGGTCTAGATTGTTATGGATTGTTATTCATTTTTGGACTGCGAGTTTTCCTTTAAATAGCCAAAGGGCCTTAGAACTATGCTCTAATCTGTTTACATTCTTATTGAATAAGTAAATTCTAAGTTCTTACATTGTCGCTCCTTTGCCATCTAGCCATTATTATTGTGTTGTCATAACTATGTTAATCAGTTTGAAGACATGAGAGGCTAAATCTTTAGCCTCTGGGTAATGGAAGACAAATCTTGAGCTCAAGGACTTAATAGGGGAGTTATCAATCTAAACCAGTGCTTAATTCTGTGTTAGAGATTTCTAGATATAGGGATTTTTGCATTTGTATCAAACTTGGTTTATGATTGTAAATCTTGTGTTTAGACTACTAAATGTATTTGGATTTGATGTTGTTGATGTTGAATCATTTATATAAATATTGCATGTGGGAATCCTGGTGTTCAATTAATGATTAGTGATTATTGATTATTAATCTATGTGCATGATATTCTTTGGTTGTCGATTGACATTCTGAGCGCATTTCATCATTCATTCATTTGCACTCTAAGTGGCTTTCAATAATGTTTTAAAAGATGTTAATTAACTTTGATTAAAGTGAGTTTTCATTAATTAAGACACTAGACTCAAGTGATTACTTGGGGTTTCCCTTCAGACTTAGAGATTTCTAAAACCCCCATTCATTTTAAGAGCATTGATAGCTGAGTTTTTATCATCAAGAGACTAGTTTACCATAATTTCCCTTTAATCCAAAACATTTCTTCATTCATTTAAAATCCCAAAAATAATTATTTCTCTGCACTTTACATTTATTGTACAATCTTTAAAACAATTAAAACTCCTTTTTTTTCTTTGCCCAAATCATCATGTTTTTTATTACCAATTTAGACTAGGTTGTTTTCCAATAAAGCGCTCCTTGAGAAGAACGATTGATTGCATCCTATACTACATTATCTAGTGCAATCACAATTTTGATGACCCAGAAGGTGACATTCTGGTCCGATCAATGGCGCCGTTGTCGGGAAGCCAAGAAATTGGTTCCCTAGTAATGGGTTTTCCA